GAAGGCAGAGTTCAAAGGACACCAAAGACAAACTTTCTATAACCAAAACTGTCTAAGGCTAGTTCAGGGAGTGACTCCTCCTTACTCACTCTGCACTCAGCCTTCTTAACCTTGATCCTCTCCCTCAATCCAGAATTAGTAACTTACTAGTGACAGGGTTCAGGACATGCAACCCCAAAATATGGTACCCTGGGATACTAAATATTTTAAACTAAAGGAACTTGAGAAATGGCAGGTACAGAAGGGACTCTCTGACCCCACCCCCACCCCCACCCCTTTACCCCAAAGCATGTCATAAAACTTTAATGTGAGAGGTGCTCTCCCTGTACCTGGAGGAGAGGAGCATCCTTACCTCTGAAGATGGAGGGACACTGAGAAGAATCCAAACAAGCAGGCCTTGCTCAGTTTCCCCCAGTACACTATCCTTAGCTCATATCCTTTGGTCCTATCACTTTTCTATGACTTTCTACTCTTCATCAAACCTAGCAAAAAACACTCAGGTTTCTTCAGATCTTCATTTCCTTATAAAGGCTCCTGTGTCATGTAAAACTTACATTAAATAATTTCATATCCTTTTCTCTTCTTAATCTGTCTTTGTTACAGAGGTACAGTCAAGAACCTAAATGGGAAGAAGGAAAATATTTTTCCTCTCCTCACTATTATTATATGTTTACATTGTGGGTTAAACAGGCTTTTATGGGTTAATCTAAGATACTATAATTTAAAATGCTCTTTATATAAAAATGATTATATTGAAATGCCAAACATCCAATTTACAAATGAATTTGGAGCATTATGTAAATTGGCACCTGCTTCCTATATAAGACATAAAGTAAAAGGATAAAATATGAATTCTGGATTGGGATACTCAAAGCAGAACGCTTGTCTTTGACCTCTTGGAAATGGATCAATATGAAAGTGAGCCCTTTTTAAAGGTGGAGCTAAAGTATCGGTCTTATTAATTCAAGGCTCTATTAAAGAAAAAATTACCCATGATACTTGTTGAAACAAACTTTATTTGGACTATCATAACAGGTGTAGGGACTACTGCAATGGGGTTTTGACAGTACAGGAGAGCCGAGGCTCCGTTCCAAATACAACAAGGACAAGTGGGGTTTATAGCTGGGATGGGGTTAGAGGATGAGGAGGCGGTCAGTGGATGAAAAATTACTAAGAATGTGGGGTAATTATTTGCTAGACTGACTTAACAGGATTCTTGTTGAAGGCAGGCCAAGGGTGATCAGATTTTACTTGGGGGGCAAGAAGGGAAGGGAAGGAAGAATTTGGACACATATTTTGGGTGATCAGATATCGAGGTTGGGGGATTCTTGCTAAAACTAGACTCCACAAGGACAGAGATGAAAAGGCTCAGAGGCCTGAGTAAAGTTTGGTCAAAGGGAGAATCTTTGCCAGCTCTTAATTTCTACTAGGCTAAAGTAAAGCTGGCAACTGTGCTGCTGTCAAAAGTGAGGACATTACAGGTCACGTTGCTTTGGGGGAGAGGGAAGACGAAGGGTTGTGGGTACACTGCTTCTCTCTGAAGTAGGTAAGAGAATCTTGTAGCAAAATTAATATGACAAGAAGGAAGAATGTGTGACAAGTTAATTTAGAGTAATTATCTTGGGTTAGGGTTAATTTAGGGAGATAAAACATACTGAGTAAATGTAAAATTATTTGTGGTTTGCTAGTGAACAAAACAACTTTCACAGTACTCTTAAAGGGTCTTACCTAATTAACATCTTTCAAATCTAGGGTAGGTAATAACAGAGCAAGACTTTTCATGGAAGACCTCTGAAACTCTTGTGATGTGCCATGTTTATTATTGTGAAATTTAAGTTAAGGAGTGACTGCAATATCAGAGCAAATGACTATATATTTATATTATCTAATATTGTTTTTTATTTTATTTTTTAAAAGAAGGATTTGGTCACCATTGGCTTCTATACTTTTTTTCAATGTGAGAAAAGGCCAAGTTCAAAGCTGAGCCTTCTCTTGTCTTTCCAGCTTGAGCGTCTCCAGATAGGATGGTTGGGGGAAAATAACTTGGTTAAAATAAATGATCTTATGAGAGGACGAATCAAATCCTAAGAGGATATATTTGAAACTGGAGGACACAGGAGAGAGGGAACAGAAGGAATTTTGCCATGGGAAAGAGGTGCTCCGGCCCCAGAGAAAGGGCTGGAAATTGAGGCAGAGTGCCGCCTTCCTCATCCATCTAGCCCTGTCCTCTGTCTCCTTCTCTCAGTCTCCTCCCCGAGCTCTCCCATCCTCCTTACAGCTCTCTTCCTTCCCTCCTACCCCTCAACTCCAATTCTACAATTTCTCCATCAGTTAATTCTAGGAGTAGACCAGGGCCCAAACTGACTCTCAGAGAAATACAAATGATTAATAGAACTTTTTTTTTTTTAAATCTAGTTTCAGTAATATTCTGAGAACAGGGTTATAATTAAAACACAGACACTTTGAAAAGGTCTTGAACTGAGGTGCAGGAGAAAAATGTAGTCAGATTGCTTTTCCAATTATCTGCATAAGCACATCAGTATGACTCTAAATTAAAATGTGACATAGTCTTCTTAAAGTTTAAATGATTGAGATTTCAAAACAATTGTTACAATCACACATCCTGGTACTTTGATATTTAAAAATAGCACAGAATATTGGAATAACTGAAATTGATATCAGGATCACTTAAGTAAATGACTGTTTTCAATGGCTAATGTACATTCTAATGCAACTTAAAAGTTTGCATATCCGAGACAAAAGCTGTCTCATCCTGGAATATTACACTTAAGCCAGTGAAGCTTAACTTTAGGTGTACATCAAAAATATCCCCACCCACAGTGATTCTGCGGGGTTGGGCCCAGGCAACTATATATTTTTAAGCTTCTTAGGTGATTCTGACACACACAAACATTAAAAATCAAGGGCTGAGTGTACTATTTGGTTACCATGGACCAGTTTGTTAACTTCAACTTATTTTCTTTGATTTATAATCTACATATTATAAAAAACTAAATTTATAAACATACCTTGGGTCAAGAAGACTCCTCAAAAATTTGAAAAGCAAAACCTGGTTCTGAGTAGAAAAACAATAAAAAATATAATATTAAAACAAATTCTTCAAACTATGCCATGGTAAAGAATGAATTTAGAATATCCCTTTAAAATGCACCCATGGCTATGATTATTTCCATTAAGCCCTCTGTATAGATCTAAGAAATTTAAAGAATCATTTGGAGATCATTTCCTCTCAGTAATTCTAATCACTGTCCCATAGTGCATTTTGAGTGAAAAAGAAACACAAATACCTTGTTATTGTAAAAAAATAAATAATAAATAAATAAATAAATAAATAAACCAAGAAAAGAAAACCAACCAAAAAAACAAACAAAAAAACCCCTCTTCTGAGACAAACCCCAGTGCAGTTCCCACACGTGGACGCTCTAACTGCTCTGCTGGTAGTGAATTCTGGCTGTGAATGCTGGTGGGTTCACTGTCTCACCTGGTCCTTCTTGTGATGACGGCCCAAATGACAACCACCACCTGAAAAGCTCATGGACTCCCCAATATAATCAACTGCAACAGAGATGGCAAACTGCAACATCTCAGCAATCAGGGCTCTGTTTCTTCCACTTATGAGCTATGTGACTTTGTGTAAGTCACTGGCTCTCTTAGCTATTCAGTTTACTTATTTAAAAAAGAACAGCAGTATCTCCTCTGCCTTCTGCACAGGAGAGAGGTAAGAATTAAATGAGATGAACCTTAGGATACTATATGAATATAAATGTTTCTAAGTTCTAAGGAAAGCTGAGCAAAAATTTAGAGTTTAGTTTTTCTTTACCTTTGCGACACATTCAAACTTCACCTATAAAAAGCAGGGGACTCTCAAAACTGAAATGGATTAATGTAATATAGAATATGACATTTTGAATATGTTTATCTGTCTTTGATTTTTATCTTTTCCCTGGCCCATCACCTTGTTTTATTTTACACAACTTTCCTTCTGGACTTAATATTCTGGCTTACTTATCATTTCAAGAATTCTGAAACAATAGGTCAGAGGCATAATTCTTGTCATCAAAAGTAAAAGTACTTTATAAAACCTGTGTGGGATTCTCCTACATAATCAGTAAAGTTCTACAATAAAAGAAATACTTCATTTCTTTAAAAGAAACGTGTTAGACTCCACAGTGTTTATAGGGCGATATTCTGTGCCAGGCAGCATAGTGGAGGCAGGAGCTGGAGACAGACTTGGCCTCAGGGTCTGGGAGGAGAAGCGTGAATAGATCTCAATACTTCAATAACTTTATAACTCATTTCTCTTTCTCTCCAATTTCCAATGTCTTTGACATTCAACATTAAAACCTCTTTTTCTATAATGTAAAATTGACTATATACGGTGTCTGCCAGGACTTTTTTCCCCCCATAGGTTTTAAGCCTCAACAACTGTGTAGAAACTACTATTAAATGGCAACTATTAATTGAACAAATTCCTAAAATCAAAAGTTCTTTGGTACATAGTCAACAATTATCTCTCCACTAGATGTTTCTTCCCCATATATATTTGCAATATTTACCTCAAGTTTATTAATGACTGTTTCAATCTGTTCAGAAAAGTGAGTAGCAACTAGCTCTGCAGCTTTACAAGGCTTCAGGGACACAAGTTCCTAGAGTGAAAGAAAAAGACAAAATCCTTTTGCTAAATCTTAATGTTAATTTAAATAGGATTCCCATAGATGTGAAACATGATCACCTGCCTCAATATTTTCATGAGCTTCTTTATTGCATTTCAGGAGACCTTGATGTAAAGCCCTAATTTAAAGGCACATTGTAAATGAGCAAAATTAAAAGCATACCATGTAAAAAGTCAGATTGTGATATACAAGGTAATTCAGAATTCTTAGAAAATGAAAGCACTAAACTCTGGATTTAGGCCATATATCTGCAGGATGAACAGAATGAACAAAAGCTCCCCAAATTCTCTGTCTGTGAATTTCACCCTTGAGCTTAAAGAAATAGCTTGATGGAAAAAAAAAAAAGGTATAGCTGCAATTTCTCTGGCTAAGAATTTTAAAACTGTACTTCTGATTGCCTGGTAGGTTTTGAAACTATTAGTGTCTTAAGAAATCAACTTAAAGTCCTAAGTTTTAAATCAGACTAAGAGAGGCACTGTTAAGTAACCACTGTTAATAAAACCTATTTCTGTCAAATCTAAGACCGCCAATTTGCACTCTCCCTAAACTTTCCTAGACACTGGCTATCATTTTCTACTCAAACTCTCTTTTCACTTGGTTTCTGTGACCTACTATTCTGCCCTTACAATTGCATATCACATGGCTAACTGCAAAGACCAACTTTACATCACATAGTATATTGTCAAATAAAAAGTATACAAGTTAGTGTGACTGTGATATTAGTGATATATCTAATAATTTTGTGGTAGTATTTTTAGATTAATAATAATGATTAATATTAAAAATAATATTAAAATAACTGTAGTTTATACTAGTTTTATAGAACACATCTCAAAATAGAGAGAGCACAACTAATCAATATCACACATGAAAAAGGGGATATTACTACTGATTAATAGACATTACATAGATAAAAAACTTTTATGTCAAGAATTTGAAAATTTAGACAAAATGGATAAATTCTAAAAAAATATAGTTCAATAAATTGACTTAAGCAAGAGAAAACTTGCACTGAATAATAAAATATCTTTCCATATGGAAAACTCTAGACTCAAATAGATTCACCTATAACTTCTAGTAATCATTTAAGGAAGAAAAATTCCAACATTAATTAATATCTTACAGAGAATAGAAAAAAGGAAACTTCTTCAGCTCATTTTATGAGGCTAGCAACATTTTGATCACCAAACCCAATAGAAAAATATAAGATAGGAAAGAAAAATTATAGATCTTAATCATGAACATTGATACAACATTCTAAGTAAAAACAAAATTCAACAATATACAAAAAGGATAATACATCAGAATCAAGTTGCATTTATCCACAGAATTTAAGGCTAGTTTAATATCAATAATATTTACCACAAAAATTAGTAAGGGAGAAAAGTTTATAAAATTTTTTTATGACAAAACTATTAGTATACTAGAAATAGAATAGAAGACTTCCATAAAAATCCTTATAATAAACATTGTACATATATGGGAAATTAAAAATATTAGTGGCATGATTATGCTAAAAATATAAATTTTTGACAGTCTAAAAAAAGGACTGAAAATCTCTACAGAGAAAATTATAAAACTTTATAAAAAAATGTTGAAGGGTCATACCATACAGTCATAGATTGAAAGATACAATGTCATAAAGATGTCAATTACATTTAAAGTGATTAATAGATTCATTGCATCACAGTTAGAATCATAAGATTAAAAAAAAATTTGGTGGAATTTGACAATCTGATTCCAAAATGTATTTGGAAGTATAAAAGGTCAAGAATAACCAATACTCTTTTAAAGATATCAAGACTTATTATAAAGCAACAATATTTAAAACTAGAGGCCCGGTGCACGAAATTTGTGCACTCAGGGAGGGGGTCCCTCAGCCCGGCCTGCACCCTCTCACAGTCCAGCAGCCCTCAGGGGATGCTTGACTGATGGCTTAGGCGGCAGTCAGACATTCTTAGTGCTGCTGCGGAGGCAGGAGAGGCTCCCGCCACCCCTGCTGCACTTGCCAGCCAATGAGCCCGGCTTCTGGCTGAGCGGCGCCCCTCCTGTGGGAGCACACTGACCACCAGGGGGCAGCTCCTGCATTGAGCATCTGCCCCCTGGTGGTCAGTGGGCGTCTTAGCGAATGGCCATTCTGCCGTTCGATTTGCATTTTAGCCTTTTATTATATAGGATACTTGTGAGGTCCTGATGTAGAGTCAGACAATAGATCAATGAAACAGAAGAGGGCCCAGAAAAACAGACCAAGCATATAGATCCTTGATATGCTTATGACAAAGTAGTACTACTGAGCAATAGGGAAAGGCAACCTTTAAAATAACTGCTGGGAAAATTGGGCACCCATATTTTAAAAAAATTAATTGGACCCCCACCTCACAGCATATACAAAAACTGCTTTCAGGTGAACCTAAGATTTAAAGATGGAAGGAAAAACAGACAAAAAAGTTTTTAGACAAAAATATGAAGAATTTCTCATTCAGTGTAGAAGAAAAAAATTATTTTGACTTAAAAAAAAAGAACTTCTCTTAAGAAGAATCATAGGAAAAAGCCAAAGAGTGGAAGGATATATTCACAACATGTGTCAGTGAAAAACGCTATCATGCAGGATACATAAAGAACACCTACAAATCAATAAGTACAGGAGATATTCAAATAGAAAATTGGGCAAGATTTGAACAGGCACATTACAGAAAGGATATTTAAATGGCCAATAAACATGAAAAGTCTATCAATCTTAGTAACTAAGAATATGTTAGTTTAAAACATAGTAAAATATCATTACACATCCACTAGAATTGCAAAATGTTAAAGTCTAGCAAGGATATAGAATCAATGGGAAACTTCATTCAATGCCAGCAGCTGGTAAAGATATTTATCCCAATTAACTGGCAATTATGGACCTTACAGCAGAGATTATCAGATGTTAGCATGTCTCAAAAGCACGTGGAGGGCTTATTAAAACATATTGTGGGGTCCCACTCCCAGAGCTTCTGATCCAGAAGGTCTGAGGTGAAGACAAAAACTGCATTTCTATTAAGTTTTCAGCTGATGCTATACTGCTGACTGGGGATCAAACTAACAACCACTGCACTAGAGAAATGCATGTGGCTGTGCTCAGATGCATATATAATGATGACTATAAATGGACTAAAACATCCACTAACAGTAGAATGGACAAACTATGATATACTTATAAAATGAAATACTATATAACAATACAAATGAACCACAGCTTCAGATAACAAAACATACAAACTTCTCAAAATATTGAGAGGGAAAAAAGGAAATACAATATATAACTTCATTTACATAAAGTTCAGAAAAAGGCAAAGCAAAAATATAAACTTTTAGGGATGTAGGCATATGCAGTAACAGTATATATAGAAAGGCAAGGAAATATCAGGAAAAAACATTTGCTTTATGCAGTTTTCTGTATGCTTTTTATATCTAAAACTATAAATATTTTTTTAAAAATATAATAAAATATGCTTTATTCATATTGTAAAAATAAAGATTTTTTACTCGTAATCCACAGACCCGATCTAACAATGGCTTTTAGGGTGTCTGCATATCCCTGAAATTGTAAACAAATTTACGCCTTGTGCACATGCACAAGTCCAAATATTTCACTAGATCAGGGGTCCTCAAACTACGGCCCGCGGGCCACATGCAAATACAAATATTGTATTTGTTCCCATTTTGTTTTTTTACTTCAAAATAAGATATGTGCAGTGTGCATAGGAATTTGTTCATAGTTGTTTTTTTTTAAACTATAGTCCGGCCCTCCAACGGTCTGAGGGACAGTGAACTGGCTCCCTGTTTAAAAAGTTTGAGGACCCCTGCACTAGATTCTCAAAAGAGATTTATAATCCCAGAAGTGTTAAAAACCACTAATTTATTCACTGTATATACTGCCAGAAAACTTTATTATGAGGACTTTTACACCTACATATTTAATGTTGATTTTATTTATATTACTGAAGCCAAGGAAGTCCTTCAACAGTTTATATATTTGTAATTGTGGTCTTAAGAGATATTAAAAAGTTCAAGGTGAAAAAAATGTGCAGATGTTGGAAAAAGTTAGCAGAAATAATTGTTGTGCAGCAACAATACTTCTTGCTTCTCCAGTCTGAGTTTTCTGCTGAGTAATTTGTTTGCTCATTGATTAATGCATCACATTTCACATTATGCAGAGAGACATAGCTTCATTTTTGGATGTCTGGAGTCCATGTGCTCAAACCACTGCTTAATGCAGATTAAGTGAAATAAAGAATGAGCCATAATGTAAATACAGAGACTTAAAGGGGATGATGAAAGGAAAAAGAATACAAAATGATTAAAGGAAAAAGATATAACTCAAAGTAGGAGAAGGTTTTCTTGAGTTCTTTCATCAAGATATATCCATCTTGTTGTTAGCAGGAATATCGTAACATAAAATAACATATATATGTTCTCAATCCTATAGATGAAAGTGTGGAAATTACTTCAGACCACACATCTGATGACTGACTGTATCTCTTTCTCACCAGATGTTTCACATAAGATGTGTTCACATTTCTGATCTTTCTAAACTTTACAACCATCAGGATGGGAACAAAGTACTCATATCACATGCAATGTTTTCTCGGAGTTTCAGATCTCATCTTTTCTTATCATTTTTCACATGTATAAAAAATTTAAATTATGTTGAATAACCATATCTTTCATTCCATCTCTAAACCTATCACCAGAAGTTACCCCATCACCTGTTCCTTGCTACAAGGAGGAGTAAAGACACTTTGTAAATAGAAATTTATTTTCAAAACTAGGATTACCTCAGCATCTTTTGTTACTACTTTTTTTCAACAATTAGTGACTCAAAAAAAAAAAATACATTTCAACAAACCTGCTAGCTCTGTTGGTTTCTGAGGTATATGGTATGTTATGAACCTATGGACACTAAAGTGAGGAGTGATTTGTGAGCCCTTTTCCAGAATGCATTCTGATCACATGTTCATCACACATTATTAGTCTCTCCATTTTGGCATCTATAGGCATGTGTTTTAAAAATAACTTTTTGTTTCAATGTCAACTCCTGCATTATTGTAAAAAAAAGCATGTATTAACAAAATCAGAATCATTCTGTTACATAAGGAAGGGAAATATATCAGAGAGAAGAACTCAGTATAGTAATGTTTCTAAAATTCCATTGGGTGATTGAGTGCAATGGTTCCCATTATTTATTAGAGAATAAGACCAGGAATACTTTAAGAATTGTATTAAGAATGTTGTAAAAACCCACTAATATTCCAGTTTGCCAACCAGCTGATTGAACATGGGTTATTTTCAGAAGCCATGATATAATAAACTAGAGGCCCGGTGCACGAATTCGTGCATGGGTGGGGTCCCTCGCCTTGGCCGGCGATCCAGCTGATCAGGGCCATCTTGTCAGGGGGAGGGACTGCAGGAGGTTGGCTGGCTGCGGGAGATTGGCTGTGGGAGTGCACTGGCCACCAGGGGGCAGCTCCTGCGTTGAGCATCTGCCCCCTGGTGGTCAGTGTGCATCATAGCAACCGGTCAACCGGTTGTTCGGTTGCTTAGTCTTTTATATATATAGATTGTATATGACAGGCTTTATAAATACAAATATGAGGTGGAATAAATTATATGAAAAAGATGCGAATCTGCAAGTAAATCAACTTAATAATGTGACACCTGCCATTGCTTGGTTAGCATAATCTTAATTTGGGAGATATCTATACAAATGGGGAAATTTCAAAAGTTTATTGAATTAGCACCTCAATGTGATCCATTGCTTTCTGCCATACAGACTGCTTCTCCTCTGCACTGTGGCCAGGAATGGATAAGATATTGTGAATGTAGTTAAAGACTTCTTCCTAAGGAGCACAAGACAATATAATTCATTCATTCATTCATTCATCACTCCAAGAATATTTACTCACTACTTACATCTATACCAGTCTTGCTAAATATCTATTATTTGGAGATAGTTAACTGATGGAAAACTGACACTGACGAGAAAGAGCAATTGTTTCAAAATTAGTTTAGTGTAGAGTCTTAAAAGTTGCAAATCTGTTCCAATTAATTTTGTTCTCAATTTCATTAACCTAATGAGGGAATATTATACTTTTGTCTTTGGTCGTCCCTGTCCACATTCCCAATTTCATCTCAAATTACTCTTGCCCTTGTCTATTAGGCTCCATTTACATTGACCTTTTCTTCATTTATATGATCTCTATTCAGTTCCTTGAACATGTCAAAAATTTTCCCCACCTCAGGGTCTTTACATATATGGTTCCCTATCCTAGAACACTTTCCTGTTGGCTCTTTGCTTGACTGGCTTCTTCTCAAATTCCAAAGTCAGTTTATATGTTGCTTCCTCTGAGATTCCTTCTGTCATATATACATCAGTTCCCCATCATCCTCTAAAGCCAGTCTCCATCACTAAACTATAAGTTTTAAAATTGCAAGAACTATATCTTTTTAATTATCAATGTATACTTGCCTAATATCAGGCACTCAATAAAAACCTATTGAATAAATGAAAATCTGAATCAGCAAACACATGTCCAAATATTTCTACTGAATGGTTATACATACTGAATAGCTATTTCTGCTCATTGGGGAATTGTGTGGAAATGGTATGGAAAAGGGTAAGCAATCTCTTAACTCACCTCTCTTAGTGGGTCACGTAAGTAGCAATCAATAATTTTGTCATATTGGTGTTCTCGTTCATACATAAACTCACAAATTTGATAACTGGAACATAAAAGGAAAAAGTTCAGTGTACCAAACAGGCAGGTGGTTATTATTGTTTCAAAAAGTTTTCTCAGCACAGAAATTAGTATAGAAAAATAAATACAGTGTTATTTCTATTGCTAAATGAAGTTACAGTATGTAAGGCAGGGGTGGGGAACATCTGGCCTCCCAGGCCTTATAAGGCCCGAGAAATCATTTGGTCTGGCCTGCCAAGACATTAGGAGTGTCTTTGACCAAATACAGCAGGCTAATTTTTTAAGTTGATAATTTTGTATGGACCATGGATGATGTTATAAATATCCAAATGGCCCTTGCAGACAAAATGTTCCCCACCCCGATATAAGAAAATTAATATCTGTCATTCTTCTAAATATAGGTTTAATATACTGCTGAACACCATGTTTACAAGAAATTTTAAAAGTGGGTACAAAATAAATGTTAAAATAACATGTGCCACAAAAATAGTTAATATATTAGATATCAATTAATTGTACGAAGTTTCTCTGTACAGAATTAAATGTCAAATAAAACATTAAAAACTGAATAAATAGTAGATCTAATATATTGCATCTTATTTGCTATATTAAGTTCTGCAATATTTATAATATATATAAATAGCTGTCAAAATCTATAAAATACTATGCATATTGTAAGTAAAAAATAACTAAATAACTAAAGTAATAAATCATGACTGTTATTTCATTTTTATCCTAAAACAAATGTACAGATACTTCTAATTTACTCCCTGCTAATTTCTGCAAATTCTACTAAATTTCAGATTTAAAAGGCACAAACTTTCATGCTTAGGTTTTTTTGTTATTTGCATAATTTTTCTTAATTTAAAAATAAATGGCAATGCATGGATAAACCAGGCTTCAAGTTACAGAAGTGCAATTTAATAGTTGTATCAACTAATATATGACTTCGAAACAACTTACAACTCTGCTTTTTCTGCCATGCGGATGAGCCGACTCTCTTCAAACTGAACTATGCCTCCAGCCTGCAGCAATTCTAAAAGGACCTGAACATTTAAAATGAATGAACAAAAAACTCTGGGATCTCCTTTTATTTACTAGCTTTTTAAGAGTCCATTCAGCCACACACCATAATTTTTTCTTTTGTCTTATTACTTACTGATGTTTTGGCTTGGCTTTCACATATATAACAGGTTAGACTTACATTATAATGTTGATCATATTGTATTTAAGTCTCATAAAAATATTAATGGCTCTATTTTTCAAGGATGAAAGGAATGCCATAGTGTTTGCAAATAAAACCTTTTTAGAATACCCAATGATCCTCCACTTAGCTAAAAGCATCCATATACATTCTTTCTTGTATGCATGCATATAAGCATAGCCAATGGACACAGACACTAAGGGGGTGAGGGCATGTGCTGGGGGGTGGGAGTGGCTGGGGAGAGGTCAATGGGGGAAAGGGGGACATATGTAATACTTTAAACAATAAAGAATATTTTTAAAAAGTGAATTTTTATCTAGAGCTTTTATGTCCTATAGCTTTTAAAGTTCTTTATGTCTTGTGGTCCACAGGTAGTATTCATGTTTACATGTTATTTTTTCTAATGAAACGTTAGTATTTTTCACAGTAGCATTATTCACAAGAGCAAAAAGGTGGAAACAATCCAAATGCCCATAAGTGGATGAATGGATAAAAAAATGTGGTATATACATATAATGGAACATTATTTAACCTAAAAAATAAATGAATTTCTGACACATGCTACAATATAGATGAACTTAAAAATATTAAGTGGCCCCGCTGGCGTGGCTCAGTGGTTGAGCATCGACCTATGAACAGAAGGTCACAGGTTTGATTCCTGGTCAGGCGCATGCCCAGGTTGTGGGCTCAACCCCCAGAAGGCAGCTGGTCAATGATTCCCTCTCATCATTGATGTTTCTATCCCTCTCTCCCTTTCCCTTCCTTTCTGAAATCAATAAAAACAAAAATTAAGTGAAATAAGTTAAACACACACACAAAAAGTACTGTATGATTCCACTTATATGAGGTATATAAAGTAGTCAAATTCACAGAGACAGAAAGTGGAATGGTGGTTGCCAGGGGGAGGAGATAATGGGGATTTTCAGTTTGGAAGATAAAGCTTTGGAGCTGGATGGTGGCAATGGTGGCACAACAATAATATACTTAATGCCTGAATTGTACATTTAAAATTTCAAAATTTATAATATGTAGTTTATAACAATAAAAAACAAACACTGGAGTTCATGCCCTGGCTGGGTGGCTCAGTTGGTTGGAGCATCTTCCATGTGCCAAAAGGTTTCAGGTTCATTTCCCAGTCAGGGTACATACCTAGATTTTGGGTTCGATCCCAGGTCAGGGCATTTATGGGAGGCACCAATCAATATTTATTCTCTCTCTCTCTCTCTCTCTCTCTCTCTCCTCCTTCCTCTAAAAAAATCAATAAAAACATATCCTGCAGTGACATTTAAAAACAAGAACAACAATAAAACACTGGGGTTCTTATAAATAATTCTACCAAACGAAGAAGGTGAATAACAAAGATGACTAGGATGTTGTGACAGATTCTTCAATTTCTGTAAATAAACCTCTCAATACAATAGAATCATTACTTAATCATTAGGGCAATGTGAGAAAGCTCTCTCATGTATTGAAGGTCAAGATCCAGAGTAACATGATCCTTCTCAGAACTCCAGGAAACCATTTAACAAAGCATTTTTCTAACTTAGGAAATTGATTACTTTCAAGTTAAAAAAAAGGGGGGGAAGGGGCATAAAATAAATAAAACCTATCCAAACTTTACATTTCAGAACCCTAATTTAATCCACTTTGAGTGTTTTAATGTACTGCTACATAGAACAACTATGGAGTCAACGCCATCTGCTGGAAGCCTCAATGTGGAATAACATAATAGTGCTACGCCGGAGCCAGTCTTACCAACCCACTTAGAATTGAGTGTTAAATTTTCAGGAATTTTGTAAGTCAGTTGTGAAACACAGCCATTGTTAAAAATTAAACTATGTAACTTTACAGTCAAATAAATTAAAGTAAAAACAAAGGTAATTAATACTAAAAACTTACCACTTTTAATTATTTCATTACATTTTACTATGTATGCTCTTGAGGTTAGTTACTGAAACTGAATCTGTACGGGGAAATATTACATAAGGGTGTTGTACTTAGCATCTCTTTCTAACTCTCGGCTGAGTGACATCATGCTGGTAGACTGAAATGGTGGGAGTGCTGACACCATGGAAACTGGCAAATTCTGTAAATCAGGGCTTTTTACATTTTTAAAGGGTTGTAAAACAAACA